AAAAAAAAAAAAAAAAAAAAAAAATTACAAAGTGTAAAAATGTAAAAATTATAGATGAAAAATAAAAAGAAAAAAGATAAAAATTTATCAATATGATTTCAATATAACTTTTCAAATTTTATTTTTTTTATTTTAATTTAAACATGCTTTATGATATTTGCACAAAATTCTATTTTATTTATTTTTAAATTTATTTGTTTTATTAAATTAAATCTCTCTTTAATTTTCTTCACAAAGTCCCGTGAAAAGTACTATTTTTTTTTTTTTTTTTTTTTTTTTTTATATAAATTATTTTTTTTAATTAAAAGATAATTATTTATATATAATTACTTATATATGTAAGAAATAGATATTTTATTTTTGGCTTAATATTTTAAATTTTTAATAGAGTTATGGAATGTTTTTTTATTATTTAGATTTTTAAAAAAAATTTTTCTTTTATAAGAGGAAAAAAAAAATTTTATTTTCATAAAAAAATAAAATTTGTATATGGAAAAAACACATTTATTAAGGAATACATGAACTGATAAAAAAAAAAAAAAAAAAAGATATAATGAATAAATAATAGAATGAGTTGTATTTTTGAAAATATTGAAAGAAACGATTTTAAAAGATTAAAAAATTATTTTAAAATTCCTTTGAAATATCAAAATTATGAGTATAAACTAATAAATAAATATAAAAAAAAAAAAAAAAAAATTTATCTATACGGAAACTTTCCGAATTATTATTATGAGAGATACAAAAAGAAAAAAATAGAAAAAGATGAAATAAATATAGAAAAAGAGGAAATAAAAAAAGAAAATGATGAAATAAATATAGAAAAAGAGGAAATAAAAAAAGAAAATGATGAAATAAATATAGAAAAAGACGAAATAAATATAGAAAAAGATGAAATAAATATAGAAAAAGAGGAAATAAAAAAAGAAAAAGATGAAATAAATATAGAAAAAGACGAAATAAAGGAAAATAATAATAATAACAATAGTAATAATCAAAGTTTAAGTAATTTGAAAAAAGACAAATGTATACAAAATAAAAATATTATTGATGATTACAGATTAACACAAATTGATAATTTAATAAAAGATATATTTAAAGACAAAATTATTTTAGATATTGGATGTAATAGTGGTATAACTACATTTTTATTAAGTTTAAAATATAAGTGTAAGATTGTTAATGGTATAGATATAGATTTTTCATTAATAAACAAAAACATTTGTTTGTTAAAATTATTTATTGAATTTATTTTAATATATAACAATCAAAAACATATTTTACAATTTTTCTTAAATAACAAAAATTTACATAAAATAGAAAAAGATATATTCCTTGATTTGTACTTTTTATATGAAGATCTAAAACAAGAAAGATGTAAAGATAAGTGTGAAATTAAAAATTTGAATATAGAAATAAATGAGAATAGAAATAAAGATAAAAATAGAACATTTAATGAAAGTTATAGTTTAATTGATGATAGCAATAGTTTATTAGAAAATACCCATAAATATACATTTCCTCTTAACATATATTTTTTATGTTCAAATATTTTTGATAAAAGATTTAATAAAATAGAAAATAAATATGACATAATTATTTGTTTTTCTGTTTTAAAATGGATACACTTAAATTACGGTGACAACCATATTATAATTTTTTTTGATTTAATTCATAAAATGTTAAAAAAAGATGGATATTTTATTTTAGAATATCACAACGAAATAAAATATAAAATAAAAAAATATGAAAGGGATTTTTATAAACATAAAATTAACTTAAATTATATGCACTTTGATGATATAGCAAACGGTGCATATAATAATAGTTGTAAATTGAAATTAATACACAAAACTAATTTTAACGTTGAAGAAGAACAATTAAAAAATAAAAACAAAAAAAAAAAATTAGGAATGTTTAATAGATCAATTCGTATTTATCAAAAAATATAAATATCATATATTTACATTTAAGAAAATATAAATTTTCTTTACATTATTAAATCAATAAAAAAGAAAAAATTTTCTTATGAGTCTTTTTAATATTTTCCTTATTATATACACTTAATTTAAATCTCATACAAAATTACTACTGTTCTTATTGTTATCATATATTACTTTTTTAATTATGTTAATTTTAACTTTTATCCAAATTCAATTTTTTTTTTTTTTTTTTTTTTTTGTTACTTATATGGATTATCCTTTTTTTCTGGTTATTTTTCGTTTTATTAGTTTTTAAGAGTCATATATTAATAAAATAAATTTGTAAATTTCCTATAAAAATTTTCAATTATGTTTTTTAATTACTAAATATATTCAAAAAAAGAAGAATTTAATTTATATAAATCTTTATCAAAATGTACATAAATTATTAATTACTATTAAGAAAGAATAATTAAATTTTTTTTATAAAAAAAAAAAATAGTTAAAAATAACAGATAGAGTGAATAATAATTAAAATAATATAGTTTTTTCAATTAAAATATATATAGTATATCAATTATAAAAAATGAGATACAGAATAAAAAGAAATAATCATTAGATTAACTTAAAAAATAGGTTTATTAATAAATATTTTAATAGTTTAATTTAAAAAAAAAAAAAAAAAAAAACAAACAAATTATAATAAATTAGAAAAATGCTTAAGTATTAAGCGTTAAATATAAAAATAAATTTATCTACATTTATTAAACTAATTTCTAAATAGTCAACAGCATATTCTCGTGATGTTAAACTGTTAGCTTTTTTATTATTATCTTTATCACTAACACATATATTTAATTTATTATGTAAAGTATTTATTTCATTATTTTCATAAAACTTTCTAATATAAATATTTTTTGCTACTGTGAATAAATTTTCTTTTATTTTATTACTAGTATAATATATATTGGTTGAAAATGACAAAGAGTGTTTAATGTAAGTTTTATTATTATTACTGTTATTACATTCATGACATTTAATAAATCCATGATATAACAAATTATATAGTTTTTTTCTAACATCATTTAAAGGTATTAAAACATTTTCACTTATTATTTCATCATTAGATTTTTCGTCAGAGGTAGATATTAAAAAATTCCATATTCTTAATGCATCTAATCCTATCATATTTTCTATTATGTTTGATATAATTTTATTTCTATAAATTGTTTTTATATTTGAGAAGTCGGATGCATAAGAGATTACCTCATTGCATTGGGTTTTTATTAAGTTATCAGGATATTTTATTAGCATATTTAGATTTTGTAACACTGTATTTTTATCTATAAATATTTTTTTCTTTTTTAATTTTTCTATTACATATTTTTCTATATTTTCAAATGAAGAAAAAGAAGATGATACATTATAATTGTTGTTATCCATTGAGTAATTAAGTTGAACATTTTTTAATAAATAAAACAGTATACATTTTGTTATTTCATTAAGATTATAATAATTCGTTATAAAATTAAAGCATTCCTGTTTCAAATATAATAAAGATAATACTTCACTATTAGCCTGAAAATATGTATATGGATTATCTAAATATTCTAATAGATTATTTTGCATATCTTCTTTATTCAAAAAATAACTTGTATCATCATTTGAATAATTTACTTTATTTGAATTTTCATTTTTTTTATTCATAGTTAAAATTATATCTTTATCTAGTAACTTTTCTTTATATTTTTTACTTGTATTATTATTATTATTATTATGAACTATGTTTTTATTTTCATTTTTATTTGATGATTCATCGTTTATAGTGAGAATTTCATCTATATTATTTTCATATTGATAAATATTAACCTTTTTAACATTATTTTCACTAACATTTGTTTTTCTTTTTTTTTTATTACTTAATACTGATGATGTTTCTTTATGAATTTTTTTGCTTTTTTTTGAATTAATTTTCATGTCATTATTTTGTTCATTTATATTTGGTAGATTATTCTTTTTAGTATCATTATCATTATCCATTTGTTGATAAAATAAAATGTTATCTATATTGTTATCAATAATATTATAATTGTTATTATCGCAAGAGTTGGAATTAGAATTATTATTTATTTTATTATTATTATTGTTAATATTATTAAAATTATTTTCTGTGTCATTTAAATCTTTTACTAAGTTATCATCAAGAGTTTTATTATAATTTATATTAATATAATTAATAGAATTATCATAAATGAGAAGATTTTCATTTTGTTCTTTATTATTTTCACAAATATGTTCATTAAAATATTTACATTTTTTTATAAATTTCTTTTTTAACAATTGCAAAAATATTAATCTTAACTTTTTTCTACTAATATTAGGAATTTTTTTCTTACATACTTCAACATAATCATCATGCTTTAAATCTTTTAAACAATTATCAATGGTTATTCTCCCACTTTTTATAATTCTTATAAGAATAATTTTTTCAATAAAATTTATTGTATCATCTTTTTCTAAAACTTGTTCATCTTTACCATCTAAATAATTCATATTATCATCAAATGTATTATCAGAATAAAAAAAGTTATATTCAATATTCGTATTATTAACATTTTCTATTGTCGTTTCATTTCTTTTATTTATGCAAGTTGGATGCATATAATAAAATATAGAAGAATATCTAACAAGAATATAAATATTTTTTATAATAACGAAGTATTCTACTCTTTTTATTTTACAAATACAAAAAGCACATTTGCATCCTTTCATATATTTATAATTTTCATTATCAGGTAGAAGATTTATTTCATTCAAATTCATCTCTCTATTTTTTTCTGTGTTTTTATTAAAAAAATTTTCATTATTTTTTTGTTCAAATGATAAGTTGACATTTTTATCATCAACAGATACATGGTTACATTCATCTGATTTATTATAAATTATATTAACATCTAATATGTTATGAATTAATAAACATAATATAATGTTTCTAACTATATTAAATTCATAATTTGATAAATTAATAATTTCATTTATAGTTAATTTATTTCCATATATTAAAATTAATTCCACTATTTCACTACACGAATAACCAAATATATCAGAAATGATATATTTTAAGTATTCTAATTCACTATTTATCATTTTATAAATATTGGGAAAGATATAATAAATAAAAAATACAAAAAAAATAATGAATAAAACATAATTTAAAATTGCTTTTACATCTCTAATATAAAAAAAAAAAAAAAAAAAAGTTTAATAAATTAAAAATTAAGTTTGATTTGGTAAAAAATCAACTTTTTTTATTTATTAAAAAGAAACAAATAATTTTTTAAAATATATACATATATAAGTTAAATAATACTATATTTTTTTAATAAACATATTTCATGTATATATAAAAAAAAAAAATAAAAATTAAAATTTGAAATAGATACTTTTATAAAAACTAATTATGTATATATGTAAATAACTTAAAAAAATATATATATTAATTATTAAAATACTAAGAAAGGTAAAACTTTATATTAAAAATATTTTTATGATTAAAAATAAATTTCGTAATTAAATAACCTTATTTTATACAAAGATTTTAATTTATAAAGTTTTGAAATTAAAAGATATCTAATATAAAAAAAATAAACTTCATTAAAATAAAGGATCTATTAAAAAATATATTTTACTTCAGAATATTTTATAATAAAAAATATAAAAAATGAAAGATAAAATTAAAATTTTACTGCCTAATTGTCTGCCATTTAAAAAAAAAAAAAATAAAGCACTCTTTATTTGTTGAATATATATTTTTCCTTTTATATTATTATAAAAATAAAAGAATGTGTTTTAGAATTTTTTAGAGTTTTTAATATCTATAAAAAAAAAAAATATATATATATATTTATAAATTAAGTCTAATTTATTCAATTTTTTTTATAATAATATATTGTCTAAATTGTTATATAAATTCTTATAAATATTTTTTAATAATTTTGTTTTTCTTTATTAAGTATTAAAAAATATTTAATTAAATATAATAATCCTTAAAAATATTAAAATGAAGCAAAAATTATATAAAAAAATATATATAGAAAAAAAATGAACTCATTAGTGGAATATAGTATATAATTTTTTTTTTTATCATTCTATTTATATGAATATATATTTATATTTATTTGAAAATATTCTTTTTTTTTTTTTTAATTGTATCTATTTTTCGTTAGAAAGAATAAAACAAGCCGTTTTTAATAAAAATAACTTAAATCTTAAAAGAGAAATTTTAAAAAGTGAAGAAAAAGAATACAAAAATAAAGGACATATAAAAAATAAATCTAATAAAACTAGTGAAAACAAAACATGTGAAATCAGTAATGAAGAGAATAAAATTCAAATAAAAAAAAATTATACTTCAATAAACGAAGATCTAGATATTTTTCACATTTTTCAAAATGATATTGTAAGCATTCAAAATTAAAGTTAATAAAAAAAAAAAAATAAAAAAAAGAGCATTGAAAAAATTTAAAAATTCATATATTACATTAGAAAAATGATAAAAGATCGATAAAATATGAATATTGTTATATATGTGAATGTGCAAAACCATGTCACTGCAAGGAAGAAAATTATCAATATGAAGAGGTAGATAACAAACTTCAGAATAATCTTAAAATATTCTTTAAAAAACAAATTTATATTTTAAATATTAGGATATATCAAATTGTTATAAAGAAAAAACTATGTCAAATATTCATTCAAACTTTAAAGTTATATCAGTAAGATTACTGTTGAAATATATTTTTCAATAAACTTATTGAATGTGATTAAATATATTTTTATTAATTTTCATAGAATTTAATGGAAAAAATTCAAGAAAATAAGAAAAAAAAAGATACTAAAAATAATAAGATCCTGTAAATGAAAAAATAAAATAAATTTCTTCTTTTTGCAAATACACACTTCAAATTATTAACTTGTTTTAATTTTTTTTTTTTATCTTAGAAAAAATACAACAAAAAAGGACGAATGCATTCAAAAAAAAAGTATTCTTTTTTTTTATAATAAAAAAAATATAATTATAATATTTTTAATCTCATAAAAAAAAAAAAAAAAATAAAAAAATTAAAAAATAAATATTTCATTCTTATAGATAATAAAAAAGAAATAAAAGGAAATTTGGGAAATTATGAAAAGTATACATAAATATATATGCTAAATTAATCCATGATGAAAAAAATTACACAATAATAATAAATAATAATCTACATTTAAAATAATAAAGAATTATAAAAATTCTCATAATTTCAAAAATATATAGTATATTTTTATAAAATTAATAATTTTTTAATATATTTTAGATTTTATCTTGAGAAAATTAAAATTACCAAACTTAAATTAGATAATTTGAGAAATGGAGAAAATGGAGATGAGGAATTAGGTTCCTTTTTTTTTTTTTTTTTCTTTTTATATTTTAATATATTTTAATTTTTTGAATATAAATATCTTTTATTTGGAAATTCATATGAATTTAAATACAGTTAAAGGAAAGGATATTGAAAAGAAAATGATTTTTGTAATATTCTATAGTACAAAAAAAAAAAAATAAAAAAATAAAAAAAAAGAAAATGCTATTATATTATTTTATGAGATTTATATAATTAGAATAATCAGAATAACATTGAAGAAAGATTAGCTGCACTAAAGGATATAGAAAAGTATAAAACATATATTAAAATAATAATGAAATGTAAAAATATATATAAGTAATTCGATTATAACATTTTCGTGTATTGTAAATGTGATAAACACAAAAAGCTACTGCTTTTTTTATATTTATTATACCTACTATTTCTTTTATGAATTTTATTTTTTCGAAGGAAGCATTTACAATTGTTATTAGACTTATTCGAAGAATATGTAGATATAGAAGAAAAGATATTTTAAAAAGAAAAACTTTCTTTCAATTTAAAAATAAAGTATTTATTTGATTAAAGAAAAAATAACTGTAAAAATCTAATAAATTTTTTTATGTAAAACAATTAAAAATATAATTTAAAATAAAATTTTTAAATAAAATGAAACAATAGGAAAGTAAATAAATTGATAAATAATTTTAATTTTTAAAGAATTATATAAGAAATAAAAATTTAAATATAAAAGTATGAATTTTTTTTTTATTTATTAAAGATATAAGACATATAAAAAAAAAAAAAAAAAAGAAAAAGAAATTTTTAATTAGTGAGACCAAATTTTTAAAACTTTATCTTTTCCTCCTGATGCAACAAATTTTCCGTCATTTGACCAATCAATAGCATAAACAGCGTCAGCATGTCCTGGTAAGTCTACTAATAATGTTTTAATTTTTTTGTTTTTTTTTTGTTCATCTTCTTCCTTTTCTTTTTCTTTTTCTTTTTCTTTCTTAAGATGAACATTTAGGTGATTCGCTTTCCATAATTTTAGAGTACTATCATTGCTACATGAAACAAAATAATTGTTATCGATAGACCAAGCAATTTTGTAAACAGGTCCAACATGACCACGATAAACAGATAAAAACTGACCATCTTTACTTGACCATATCCTAATACTTTTATCAAAAGAAGAAGATGCAATTAATTTTCCATCAGGTGAAAATTGTGTGTGAATAACTGGCTTTTGGTGACCTAATAATCTTATGCTTTTATACTGATTGTTTTTTAAGCAATCAATTAAATATAATGTACAATCATCAGATCCACTTACCAACTTTTCATTACTCTGATTTTTAAAGAATTTTTTATATATAATTTTTGACTTTTCAATATGATTTTCGATGTGTATTTTATTTATTATGACATCTAAATTATAAATTCCATTTTTTAATATTCTTTCTGAATTTAAAGATAAGCAATTTACCCAATGACTATGACCTTTAAAATCATAAAGTAATGTACCCTCATTTACATTCCATATTTTTATAGTTCTATCTCTTGAACTACTATAAATTCTAGCACTTTTATCATTCATTCCTGACCATAATATGCATGTAATTGTATCTGTGTGTCCTGTTAATATTTTGTCAACACTATTATTTAGTATATTATTAATTCTTATACATCCATCTTTTCCTGCACTTGCAAGTCTACTTTTTACAAAAAATGCATCTTTTTGATTGTAGCTTACAGATGACTCCTTTTTTTCATTTTTATCATTCTTTTTATCATCATATTGTTTTTCTTTTTTTCTTTTCTTCATAGTTTCTTCTACACTTTTCATTTTCTCTTCCATATGAACTTTATCAATATTACTGTCATTATTTTTAATATGGGATTCCCTATCATTTTGAATTTCTTTATTTATCTTATTTTGTTTGCTTTTATGTTTGCTACTATCTTTATTCTCTTCTTTTATGTCATTTATTTTCTTTCTTTTTTTTGTATCAATACTTTTTTTTTTAATATCATTCTCCTTAAGTAAGTGTAGAGGCTCAAAACATAAAGTTGTAACTTCTTTTTTATGACCTGTTAATATATTTAATAACTTTCCTGTGTGTGTATCATATATACAAATATTATGATCCATTCCAGCAGTAGCTAAAAATTTATTATCAGGTGAAAATAAAACAACTAAAACCCAGTCTTTATGATCTTTTAATGTTGCAATTGGTGTTTGCGTATTTATATCCCATAAACGAACTGTATTATCACCTGAACCTGTAGCTAAGTGAGAACTATTTGGGCTAAAAGCCAAGCTAAGGATAGAATTTGTATGCCCTGGTAATGTTGCACTACAAGCATTTATTTTTTTAACTTTAAAAATGTTTAATGGGAAATATTTTATTGATAATATATTTTCACTACTTATATTATTATCTTTTATAGCTTCATATAAACTATTTTTTATTGGTAATTTATCATTTATCATAAAAGAGTAATTAATATCTTCTGAATCTTCTTCAATGAAACCATCATTTTTTTTTTTTAGATCATTTATTAATTCATCTAGATTATCTTTTGTAATACTTAATGGTACATTAATAATAGGTCCTGTAGCTTTATTCTCATGGTTAACAAATTGAATTAATATTTCTTTTCTCATGGCATTATTATCAATCTCCATTTTTTTTTTTTCTTAAATTTAACAAAAAAAAAAAATGAAAAAAATAAAAAAAAAAAAAAAAAAAAAACGCTAAAAACAAATTGATCAATTATAATAAAATGATTCTGATTGATTTTTCTTTGTATTCATTTTTTAATAATTTGTTTAAATTTTATTTTTTTGTTGTTCCTATATAAAATATTTTATAAAGCTTTTTATACCATTTTTTTTTATAAATTTTAGTTTAATTTAAAAAAAAGAAAAAAATTATTGTAGGTTATATGATACATAAAAAAAGAAAAAAAAAAATTTTCCCTTAAAACCTTTAAGGTATAATGGAACGTGATGTTTATAACTTTTTCATTTTTAAATTTATAGGATTCATTTTATTTTTAAGCTTTTAATTTTTTTTTTTTTTTTTAATTAATTTTTAATTTATTTTTTTTTTAATTCATTTTTAATTCTTTTATTTTAATTCATTTTTAATTTTTTTTTTTTTTTTAATTAAATTTCATTAATTTTTTACAATTTTGTATTTTTGTTGACATATTTTCATATAATATTCCTTTTTTTTTTTTTTTTTTTTTTTTTTTTTTTAGTATATTATATTAGATTTTTGTAGAATTTATAATAAGCATGAAATTACTATTCTTTAATCATATAAAGTTATTTATAATATTAAATAATTTCAAATTTTTTTATTTAAACACTATATCACAATTATGATTTCATCTTTAACAATATACATATGAATACACATTTATATAAACATATGTATTTAATCTTAAAATTATTTAAAGGGGTAAAATAATAAAAAATAATAATTTGCATAATAAAAAAGTATACAAATTTTAATTAATTTTTATCAAAAGTAAAAAATTCCTTTTTTTAAAAATGACAAGACAAAAAACATTTATGAAAACATTTCACAAAAATTATCAAAAATATATCATAAAATATAAGTATTCCAAGTAGATTTTTTATGACTCAGTTTTTATTGAAACTGCAAATAAATAAACATATTAAAATTTGTTAAAGAATTTCCATTTAAAATATAATTATAGTTTATTTTTTTTACCATTAGGGATATCATCAAGATCCTCTTGTATATTAATAGAGATACCATCAAAATTATTAATATTCTAAAAATAAAAATAATTATTTATTGGAAATTATTTAAAAAAAAAAGCATATATACATTGTCGTAGATTTTTATAATTTTTCATTTTTTCAAATCACTTTATATTGATCATCTTCAATTGTTTTGTTATCATCCTCATGCCTCATTTCCCCTTGATTTAGGCAAAGAATTTGTTTTGTTAAAAAAAACCACTTCAAAGAAAAAAATAAAGAATATTTTTTTTATAATAAAAAGATGTATAAAAAATATTTTCTTTATATATATATATATGTGATTCCATTTATTTAAATATGTCATTTACCCAATTATTTATACACTCTTCTGTATTACAACTACATAAATAAATAAAATGAAAAGTAACATATATGTATAAATGAAACAAAATTTTAAAATGAAGAGAATTATAAAATATTTTTATTCTAACCAAAGAACTATTGAATCTTTGCTAACTAAAAAAAATAAGATAAATATGGAATTTTATTTTTTATTAGATATATAATTTATTCATCTAATAAAAAATTTATGAATAAACTATAGAATTTAGCAAATTAATTAGTTCTAAATATATATAAGATAATATTTATTCTCTTTCTTTTAAACTTTTTTTATTCCTTTGAATTTATTTCAACGTACTAATATTAATTGTTAAGCATTCAGAATTTGTTGAAAAAATTATTAGTGGAGTTATTACTTCTCTTAAATCAATGCTTTCAAAAAATTTTGATCCTCTAAGAAGAATATAAATATATATAAAAATAAATATATATATATATATATAAATATATATATATATATATAAATATATATATATATATATATACCTATATAATTCCAAAGTATTATTCTTTAAAACAGCTGATACATTAAAAAATTCATTTTTATCCTATTATAAAGTAGAAATTTTTTTAGAGAGTTTATGAAAAATACGTGTAATTATTTAACATTTATATCACCTTTTTTTGGTGATATTTCAAAATTCCTCTATAGGTGCTTTTACAAAGGTTCAAATCATTTTGTGATAAATAAAAAGAATGTGTCAAAATTAAAAAGATAGACAAGAAAAATATTAAAAAATTCATTTTTATATATTTTATAAAAAGTATAAAAAATAGAACAAGAAATGATGCAATAAAAAATAAATTCTTTTGAATATGTCTTTGGTTTATTTTTAAGAAATTACGGAATATAGATTTTTCTATATATTTAATTTTATTATTTTTATACTGTCACAACAAATATGATATTTCATAATTCTTTATTGTTTTTTTAAAATAAATAAAAATTTTTTTTTTTATTAACATAAAATGTATATACACTTTTTTTTTGTAATTTTAATAAAAACTTATTTTATAGCGGTCAAAAAATATACATATATATATATATATATATATATATATTTGAATGAATACGTTAAAGAAAAAAAAAAAAAAAAAAGGAATTTTAATTATATATACAAAATTAAAGAAAAAAGACTAAAAAATTTTAAATATAATTGAAAAAATATCAAAATTTTATTTTTATTTATTCACAAATAACCAAAAATTACAATAAATATAATTACCAAAATTAAAACAGAAATATTACAAATCACCTGAAATGTAGTGCATACAAAAAAATGTCTTGGATTGCTAAAAAAAAAAAAAAAAAAAAAAAAAAAAAAAAAATATATATATATATATATATATATATAGAACATAAAATAAATTAAAAAAAAAAAATTATTTATTTTGTTACTTGATTAAAAAAAAGTTTCTTATTCTTTGTGTAAAGGTTATATTTCCTCCAGTATCCAATAAATTATCTGTTCCAATATTTTCTAAATAAGAATGTGGTGTGTCTATTAATCTCTCTGTGTAATTATCTAATATATATGAATTATTATTACTTCTGTTATTTCTACTTTGTAAATTATTTATTTCATAATAATATTGTTTAGAATATTCTTTATCCTTTTCTATTTGTAATTGCTTATAAATATCATCATTTTTAATTATTTCTTTTGTTAATTCTTCGTTTTTCAATTCTTCATTTAATTTATTTTCCTTTAATATTCTTTCTTCATAATTTTTTTTATGAATTTTTCTATATTCTTCTAATGCATCTTCTAATAATTTTTCTTTCATCTTTTAATATAATAATAAATATCATATATACACATATATGTTTTAAGTTAAATTTTTATATTAAAAAAATTATTTCATTAGAATGTGATTCTATAAACTTAAACCATTTAAATACTTTGAAAATAATAATTTACGATTCTTTTTATAATTTTATCTTTTTTTAAATATATAATGCATATTAAAAAGAAACGAATTTCCAACAACATTCAAATTAATGGAGAGTAAAAAATATATTTTATTTAGGAAAAAGGTATAAATAATTTTTGTTTTTAAAAAAAATTATAGTAATTAAGAACTATAAATTTACTGCAATGAAATAATTAAAATTATTAAGGAAAAAAAAAAAAAAATTGCAAAATAGAACGAAAACATAAATTTTTTTTTCTTCATTTATGAGTGGTATAAAGAAAAAAAAATGGTTATCACTCTTATCACAAATATATAAATATATATATTAAAAAAATTTAATAAGTGAGATATTTATTATAATTTCTTTTATTAAGTCCTTTCTATTATTATTTTATTATTTTTTTTTTTTAATTATATGTAAATTTTACACATTTCAATTTTTATTTATATGCTTAAATGGATACTATCTTTAAAATTATAATTATAAAATATAAAAATTTTTTTTTTCTTTATTACGTAAGTTTAAAAAAGTTTCCAATCAACATTTGAAATATATTTAACAAAGAAAAAAAAAATATATATATACAAAATTTAAAATATCAATTTTTGTATTAAAAAAAAAAACAAAAAAAAAAAAATAAAGAGCCAGAGGAGTCAATAAAAAGGAGAAAAATTTCGTAAAGTTACATAATTAAAAAAAATTTTGAAACATGATAAAAAAAATCAAAATCTAAAATAATTTAAGTAAAAAAATGTTGAAAACAAAAAAAGAAAAAAAAAAAAAGAAAAAAAGAAATTAGAAAAATTTCAAGGAAATAAAAAACAAAAGGAAAAGAAAAAACAAAAAATCAAAAACAATAACAAAAACAAAAACAATTACAAAAACAATAACAAAAAAATAAAAAAAACAAAAGCAAAAGCAAAAACAAAAAAAAAAAAAAAAATAGAAAATATAAAATGGAAAAAATAAATGAAATAAAATAAAATAGAAAAGAAGAAAAATATATTTAGGATAAAATAGTTGTATCGCCAAAGTATATCTTATATGTATTTAACACATATATAATATGTGCAAATATATATTAACTTTAAAAAGTGTTGAAATAAAAACATTTTTCTTCTTATTAAATATTAGGTTTTTAAAAATGCAAAGAAAAAATTATACATTATTATTAATAACAGAATATATATAAAAATAAAAAATAATATATTATAGAATATGTTTTTGAGGAAATAAGACATAAAAAATATAATAAACTTTAATAATTCTTTTTTTTTTTTTTTTTTTTTTGCTTTTTATAATTAGAAAAAATGAATTTTTTTAAAATTTTTTTAAACATGTAATTTTTTTTTTATATATTTATTTATTATTCTGAATTTTTACTCATTTTTTCTTTTAAGCATTCTACCATATCTAAAATAATTTAAAAAATAAAAAAAAATTACAAATGCATAATAATTAAATACATATTCATAAAAAAAAAAAAAAAAAAAAAAAAAAATAATTTTTACCTACTAACAATTGGTTCATCAGTAACTCTATTATTAAGAGTATTTTTTTTATTCCCATTTTTTTTTGCTCTAGTCTTTTTTTTTTCATTTAATATTGCTTTTTCTTTTTCTTTTTCTTTTAAATTTAACTCACTCACCGTTAAGTCAATGTAGGCAATACGATCACTACATAAAGGGTCAGCTATAGGAATTTCACTTAATATTTTACTTTCTCTTTTTTTCTTCTTAGATTTTTTTTCGTTATGTATAATTTCTTCATTTTTATCTTTAATAGTATCCTTTTTTTTCTCTTTTAAATTTTCATCATCAATATTTTCGTTATTTTTATTTCCATTAGATTTTCCTTGATCTTTTTTTTTTTCCGTTATTTTTCTACTGGATGACTTTTGATTTCTTTCTCTTAGTGGATATGCACGGATAGATGATGTATTTTTAGTATTATTTTTTTTATTTTTTGTTATATGGTTATATATTAAAAAACTTACAGATAAAAAAAAGAGCACATAAAAAATTATAGAGAAAAACATCTTTATAGAATCCACTCTTATGTTATATATCTCATTTCTAAAATATTCAAAATAATTGTAAATTATCTCCATACCAATATACATTTTGTTATAAATGATTAAAATAATACTCTTAAAAAAACTAAGTATTTCTTGGAACTGATATTTAATATTAGTATCATTTACCATTTTTAAAAAAATTAAAAATTCCAATCAAAATTTAAATGAAGATATAAAATAAAAAAATAATATTATAAACAAACAAAAATAATTTATATATTTTCAATTTATAAATATTATAAAATGACATAAAAATTCCTATTTTTATGCATACTCAAAGTGTTATTTATTTTTTTTATTATTATTGTGTAAGTTTATATATACGTAGATATAAAAAAAAAAAAAATGATAATTTCCATCTTAATTATACTATTCTAATCAAAAATACGTTAGAACAAACAAAATATAAAAAAAAAAAAATATAACAAAAACCAAAAATGAGAAAATATAACTTGATGTATCTATCAATTTAAAAAATTAATATATATATATTCATTGTATTTATATATATATATATTTATAAATTTCACTGTTAATAAAAATTCTAAATATTTTTCCCTTAAAATTTTTTCTGATTTTTTTTTTTTTTTTTTTTTTTTTTTTTTTTTGCATATAGAGGTGCATTTTTTTTTTGGTGTAAAAAAAAAAAAAACACACTTTATATTTTTTGTCAAAAAAAAATTATGCATTTTTTTAAAATAAAATCATATAAAATGACATTCATTTTAAAAGAAAAAAAACAATATAAATAATAATTGAGTAACAAAAAAACAGTACAAAAAAAAAAAAAAAAAAANATATATATATATATATATATATATATATACAATATATATATACAATATATATATATAATATATATATATATAATATATATAATATATATTTATACGTAGAACAAAACAGATTAAAACAGAACAAAAAAAAAAAAAAAAAAAAATAAATATGTATATAGATTGTAAATTATATTAAAAATTTTAAAAATATTAGAATGAATTTTTACATAAAAAAGAAAAATATAATACATTGGATAAAATTTCCTTTTATTAAAAGATTTTAAGATTATTTTTAATTTTAATTATCTTTAATTTTCATGTATAATAAATTTTTATATACATTTTTAAAAATTTAAAATTACAAGTTTAAAAAATTGGAGAGATTATTTAGAATTCAATTATTCAAGTTAACTTTTATTATTATATTTTTATTTTTATTTTTTTTTTTTATAAATTCTTCTAATTCTCTATTTAAATATTATTTCACGATTTTTAGTAAATATAACGTTTATCAAATACAAAGTGAAAATTTCCAAAAAGTAAATTTTTTTATTTAAAAAAAAAAAGAATACATGTAATTTAAAAAATATAAAAATTACTTATATATATATATATAGATTAATTTAATATACCAATAATTTATAATTAAATATATATATATGAACTATTTTAAGAATGAATAAGAAAAAAAAATTCCTTTTATGAAGTTATTAAGGAAATATATATATTTATTTTTTTTTTTTATTTTAAAAATTATGTACTGAAGATAATATCATTTTTATTAATATAAATAAATATAATTTTATTAATGATGTCTCCATTAATAATTTTTTTAATTAGATACTTTTAACATCTCACTACTTATTAATAATATTAAGTTTTATTAAAAAAAAAATTATCACTTTATTTTTCTTTTTTTTTACGATTTATTGTTGAAAGAAAAAAGAAAAAAAAAATGTATATAGATAAATATAAGACACACACACACACACAAAAAAAAAAAAAAAAAAAAAAAAAAAAAATTAGAATTTTAAATAATATTTTCCTTATCTAAAAATTATCATAAATGTTTCTAACAT